AAACTACAGAAATGAATGTCTTGATGGAGAAAAAATGAACTTTTTGTCTGTAGTTTTCATTTGTTTTTTTTTTTTTTATCTTTTTAACATGAATCTTTTAACATTCCTTGTGTTGGTCAAACAGTCTCTTTTTTTGTTATTTGAGATAAGAGCTGGATGGATCCATGATAATCCTAAATTCTCTGGTCAGTTTGACAGTTTTATTGGACCTGGTGAGGGGATGTGTCTCTGTTTTGTGTTTGTGTGTGTTATTTGGTTCTTAGGGAGTGAGTGAGTATGATATGTGTAAGCGTGTGTATTGCTGTGGGTGTGTGTTATCATTTGGCTCATTAGGGAGTGAGTGAGTATGATGTGTGTATGTGTGTATATTCGTGTGGGTGAGTGTATAAGTGTGAGGCCTCCAACACCTCCGTAAGCATGTCTGTCTTGTGTGGGTGAGAAATGTGGGTAGGTTTTGATTTGTTGAGTTATATATTAGTACTATCTATATATTGTTAAATTTATGATTTAGCCCGGCTGGGTATTTTGTTTTTAGACGTTGTATCCACTTATTTTCATGGGACACTAAAATCTTTCTAATGTTATCTGCTCTGAATATATATATATATATATATATATATATATATATATATATATATATATTTATATGTTTATGCTGGAAAACGGCTATCAAGGGTTGGTCGTTGAGGTTTTATATTCGGGACATAAGTTATATAAAAAGTGTCCGAATGTTTTTCAAGCTTTTTTAGTCATTATCAAGGATGACTTTTATTTTACTGTTAACTGAAGATATGCATTGTTTTATGTGTGTATCTAGAGTTACAGGAATGATTTATTTTCCAAACACGGCCAGAACATTGTGACCGCGTTCATAGTTGATATTATTGTGTGTTGGCCTTTCCTTTTTTTATTAATAATGGTTCAATTATTTTTAACCTTTTTCTACAAGTGGATGATGCTAGTATATTTGGATTAACAATGAGTATGATAGAGTTTGGTAGGTCATCAAGTGTATTACAATGAGACGTAATTGAGCTACCCTTCAGAGAGACTTCTTGAGGTCTTCTTGTTAAATATGTTGCAGTATATCCAATATACTTATTTACAAAATTAGATAATATAACACTCATATATAAAGGTTATGACTCGATATTATATCCGTACGTATAGTGTTAAAGGATATTTGTTGTCAGTTGATAAAACTCCTGGAGAGATTTCCAATGAAAAGTTTCTCCAGTCCTTTCGCTGCACGTATCAAGAAAATCATTCGGATTTCAATATATTTCCTCTCCATCTTTTAACCATGAAAAGAAATTGAAGATGTAAGTAATAGCGATTGGGTCAAGAGAAGGATTAACTTCAAATAGATGCGGTAAGCTAAATTTAGCTATGGAACTGACAGTATGATAAATATCTATTAAGTTTTAACAAGACTAAATTCAAATATGCTCTATCAGAATGAAATTGAGCGTGGAATTAAGATTACGCTCATCACATAGGAATTATCATTATGCAAATTGCGCAAATAATGAGCCTCCACCAAGCCACTTCCTGATATGTATGCGTAAATCATTCCTATAATTCTAGATACACATATAAAACAAAACGCTTCCAGAGAATTAGTTGCGTAAACAATGGGCTCCCACCAAGCCACTTCCTGATAATTATTTGCACAAATAATAGGCTCCCACCAAGCCACTTCCTGATAATTAGTTACGAAAATAATGCCCCTAATCAGCCACTTCCTGATAATTAGTTGCGTAAATAATGTGCCCCTACCAAGCCAGTTCCTTATAAATAGTTGCGTAAATAATGGGTCCCAACATGCCACTTCCTGATAATTTGTTGCGTAAATAATGAGTCCCCACAAAGCCACTTCCAGATAATCAGTTGCGTAAATAATAGACCCTTACCAAGCCAGTTGCTAATAATTAGTTGCGTAAATAATAGGTCCCCAACAAGCCACTTACTGATAATTAGTTGCGTAATGAATCAGATATAACGCATTTAGACAGCCGAATTCAGAGACAGTCTCTTTCCTATACTTGTTCATACTTGTTCATAGCAAACCTCTGCTCTATATTGGAGCAGATCAAATATACTGACTGGTTTTAGAACAAGCTTAATATATATATATATATATATATATATATATATATATAAGAGATATAAAAAGTGAAACTAAAGAAAACTCAATTTAAATGTTGTTAAAGCCAGGCGCAATCGTCAGGCCACGATTGCGCCTAGCATTAAACAGCCTGACGCCTCTGAGTGTTGATTTCAATGTTCATTTTTATATTTATCTTTACATACGCTCTATCTCTGATATTGAGCACTTTATCCCATAAATATAGCACAATTTAAAAAACTGTATTTATTCAAACACACACACATATATATATATATATATATATATATATATATATATATATATATATATATACCTAATTAGCAGGGTGTCTTTTGACTTGTTTTCTTATCATCTCCCACCACGTTGTAACCCAAATTATAAATAGATTTCACAGTCGTTAATCACCAAAAAGAAAGATCAGTTAGATAGTACCTTAAAATGACTATCTTCCCGCTTTCCATGTACTTTCACCTATTTTCACATTTCACATTTTCACATACATAAAATCAAAAGAGAACCAATGGAGTTCTGCGTATCGGGTTGATTCAAGTTCATATTTTTCGGCTGGGTTGCAATAGGAGACAGCCAGTAGGTTATAGTCTATTAAGTTCTACCTTAACATAAATTGCGTCGTATAAGTTGCTCTCAGGATTTGAGGCTCAAAACACTAGGTTCGTGCTATACCTAGCGTATAGATCGACCTCCAAATATATAGTAGGCTACCACTAGCCGCAAACACAGGTATACCTGTAAATGAGGCTATATATGATAACCTATTCCAAATCTACACAAGATGACACCACTTACCTATATATTGAGACACTAACTGTGATATCTTTCTATATGCGTTGTATCGTAAACTACCTACAACATGCGCCGATAAGAACCATATATATTGCACTGGTATAAATTAGGGAATATTTAAACTTAAACATGTTTAACACATCAAATCTTATAAAATATGAATACCGTAGATTACACACCATATCAGGTAGATTTTTGATAGTACAGCTACGCATTGTATGTTATTGTAAAATACAATATCACTCATCATCAATATATTATACAGGTCGGTGGAAAAGGTTTGTATTTTATACCCGTCATATAAGTCGACTCCTAGTTATTTACTGTAGTTGCGATACCTTCATTCGTGGTAAATTTTACAGAGGATTAATTTCCCTAATTTCCACATTTTTATCACTAGTTTTAAATATCACATATCTCTACCTCTCAATACAAGACGGTTAATTTAAAACAATCTTTATCCTTATCACGAGTATTTTAACTTCTTTGCTTGGTTTGTTATTTTTGTTTAGCAGCATATCAATCTCTATATGTTATCTAATGCCGAAATCTAAATATTTTACAAGCAAAATTATTACATTTTTGGAGATATTAATGGTATCCTAATACAAGTCTTACTAATTAACCCTCAGCTGGGAGAAAGAGGCGGATATATATATATATATATATATATATATATATATATATATATAATATTAATAGTAGTAAGTATAGACGACCCTTAAAAATATATTCGATAATACTTTATTTCATGAACTTACAAATATATATTCATCTATTCAGGCCGACGTTTCTTTAATAAATGGAGTCAATTTATCTAGACGAAAGGAAAAGGGAAAGGAAAAAAGAAAAGGAAAAAGTTTAAATATTAAAAGAGGAAGAAAGAAAAATAATGATTTCAGTATAAGGTTTCAAAAAAAGAATATTGTTTTTTTTGGTGGGGAAGAGAAAGCGAGACAAAGGGAAGAGTGAGAGGAAGAGGGAAGGAGAGTGTGAGAGAAAGAGAAGAAAGAAGGAAATATTTGACATGAGCCGATAGGATGACCTAGAAATGATTTTGTCTTTAAGGACTGGACAAGTTAAAATAGAGGTCGGATAAAGTGGGGAGACAGATACATTGAATTGTCATGCCATTCTCGACAGCGAAACTCTCATCACCATCGCATTATAATCACTTGTACAGAATTAAGTGAACTTTATTATAAAGTAAATATACGCATTTTTGATGAAATAAAAAGATAGGCGGGATTTTTTTTTTACTCCGGTTGGCAAGCAGCCAAGCAGAAAGTAAAAAACTGAATTTAAAATCTTTGAGAAGACAAGAAGAAGCCCCTCTCCTATTATCCCCAATATCTACTACAGTAAAGCAAAACTATTAAAGAAAACGAGAAAGCTGTGGTGAGCTATGATGGAAAGAGCCATCAATATCTTCAGCAGACTAAAATTAAATACTACCCTTTGTCAGACTGCTTTTGTACTTGAAGATCAATGTTTTTGTTTTACATTGCTTTCTTTTCAGAATAAGATTGCTTTGTTATCAGAGAATGCTCGGGTGGCTTAATTTTTCGGACTATCTTGATATCTACATTCCTTCTGGAAGTTTTCTGCCCAGAAATATTTATTACAGAACGAATAGTAATTTCAAACTTAGCCAAAGAAGAAAGATAAGAGACCATGTTGACTGTTTTCTCAATTGTTGGATATAATAGGTTATATAAGCATACAGAGGATGCTAAAAAGTTTTTGTCCGACCAAGAAGCTCTGAAAAAAGAAGAAATTACTAATTTTTGATAAACTGATCATATTTTTTTTAATTTACTCACACAGAAATTGTCTGCAACCGCACGTATAGATAACTGAAATATACGTACATAAAAAATAATGTTCTGCAATTCAAAAATACATCTTTCACTACTATCATGGATTTTCATATCCGCCTCGGCAAAACTATAGAATTCATCTTGAAAAATAAAGTTTCACAATCAATATTGGACAGCCTCTTCTTAATCGCTTGCAAAGAACAGGATGTTATTCCAAAAAGAGCTCAAATTGCAGAGTCATTTTTATGGATCCTATACCACATCACAATGATCCCAGGTACAGCAGCTCTGCGATTTTGCATCGTCCAAACTACGAAAGCTTATTCTGTAAGCTGCCCATTCCAGACAGCACACTCATTCCAACTCCTGCAACAGTAAAAGTAGCTTTATTCTGCCCAATTCACTCACTATTATTCAATCCGCCTTAATAAATGTCTAACATGAAAGAAATGCGAATTAAATCATTTAATTAATAATGACTTATTCTTGCAATATCTTCACAATATGCAAGACACCTCAACGTGATGCAAGCTTGTCTCGATGGAAGAGTTACGACTGAGTAGTCAGTTCGATTTTCACTGGGTACACCGTACTTTCGGTCTTCTGCCCCATCACAGCTATGCTTAGAAAATCACATCAACAATATACAGAAATCTATCCCCTTTCACAGACGGCTTTGACATCACCATAACGGGGGCAACACCTATGACGTACATTTCAACCAATCAGAATTGATAACGTGTGACACGTATATTTGCTATCTTCATTTAAAATGTCAACAAAAACTCAGAAAATCCGAGTTAATTTAATTTTATTTTTCGTTGAGAATTGACGTCAGCTTATCAGAAAATTCTGATTCTTAACATATTTTCTCATCATGCTTCTGACAATAGTTCAATTAGATCTCATTTAAATATTCATGGAGACCTATCGGACACTATTCGTAACATACTTATTGACAACACAAATATAATAGCATCATCTACATGCAAAAAAAAAGGCTAAAAATAATGGAAGCCTTATTAATAAAAACAAACAAACCAACACTTAATAATATTAACTCTGAACATGGACATACTATCTTGAGTGTGTTTTGAAAAATGAAAAAAAATATAAAACATACATGCAACAAACTATTTCTTATTTTAGCTGTTAAAATATAATCCTTGAAAAAGGCTAAATGTATAGCCGAAAGCGCTCGGATAAAGAGAACATTCAGACAGTTTTTATATAATTTATCATCCGAAAAGAAAAAAGAATATTAGACCGTACGAGAAATTGTATAAAAAAACTAAATAAAATCACCTTGTCTGTCGTTTTCAATGAAATGTGCATGAAAGAAGGATTTCTGCCTATATACACAAATTTTAGATTGAATGACATGGCAGCCAACAAGGAAAGCGACACTATATCTTTCAGAAAAATCTTGTTCAACGACAAATAAGGAAAGCTAAGAACGAAACCCAACATATAAATAGTGAAATCCAAAAACATATTGCAGTACTAAAGAACACTTTAACCGAAACTGAATGTAAAGAAGCACAATACCACATCAACATAAGTATTAATAATAATAATGAACTTGACCATCGACAAATAATTACAAAAAAGCTGTGCAACTTATACCAAGGAAATATTCTACTTCCCAACAACGATGATAAATACATAAACTTATCAACTCGCATATTAACTGATGATCAAAAGGAATTTCTAAATCTAGGGCCAAATTGCCATCTCCAACCTAAATTTGACCGTCTCACAATAAAGACTGAAATTGAAATCTTACATCAATCATTATGTCAACTGGAAAATGACAAATCGATAATACTCCATCTAAACCTCAAAGATCTTCTCAAGGTAGAATGTCTAAAAGATTATATTCCACGTAATAGAAACAAGAACATTCCAACAAAACTCAAAATTACTGCTACAGAATTAAAAAAAAACAAAAACAACCCTAATATAGATAACAGAAAAGTTGATAAAACCATTATTTACGTAATTTTGGATAAATTGGATTATCACAAAAAATTTCAGCGTCTCATTGATGATCGTTCTAAATTGTATAAGAACACCACTGAATCTCTAAAAAAAATAACTTAATAAACTTATATCATCCAACAATGCTTTTGCGGGATCCTTTTATATATATATATATATATATATATATATATATATATATATATATATATATATAAAAACCGACAGTACAGCGCGAAAAAATTTGTCTTCTCAGGTTTTTTTCTTACATAGGCCTATTTAAATACACACATATATAGTTACATACATATATATGAGAGGTTATATGTAATGGATCAAGTTCGACAAATATTTTAATATATATTATACGTTATTTTTATGGATGCTATTTATTTGAGTAAATGCCCTGTTTTAGTTAAAAAGTATTAATTACATTTAACGGCCAGAAGATTCGAGAAACGTCGTATAAATCATGCGTCCTCTGACAGGAATCGAACCTGTATCCTATACGGAAACCGTCAAGTTGTCTGACGTGCTGTTAATCATTCAGTCACTGGTCGTTGAATTAAGCGCAGTATTTTGAAACCGAAAGTCTTTTGTGGTTGAATGGACAACAACAATTCAGGCCAAATGACGGTTTCTTTATGGGATACAGGTTCGATTCCTGTCGAAGGCTTCATATTTTCTAGGAGGTTTCTCGAATATTCACCCTGCTAAATGTAATTAACACTGTCTATTTAAGACAGAGCATTTATTCAAATAAGTTGTATCCATAAAAATAACATATAAACAGAAAATATATTAAAACATATATGATAACACTAAATAATAACACGATAATGACTATGATTATATGTTATTGTGATTGTAATTATATACAATATATGATAGTATAAAAAATTGTTTACGCCTAGATAAGCACGTTGACCAATAATTTAATGGAAGATAACGCAGTTTAAAGTGAGCAAATCTTCTAAATGAAGTTCGCAATATTTAAAGAAAAAATAGAAAATTAGCAAGCGATAGATAAATTAAAAGTTCAGTGACTTATCTTTTAAATCAGATTTATCTTAATTCGACATGGGGATTTATGTCTGTGGGTCAGAAAATGATCATTGAGGTTTATATGATTGATCATCAATTCTTGTATTGATTTTTATTTAAATATGACGGACACGGAATGTTTTGTTAAATTTTAGTTAAAGTTTATCAAGTATTTATAACTTTACATTTTTAAGTATGGCTCGAAATTTTTGATAATGATTATTATACCGAAATATTTATGCTAATATATAAGCTATATTCAAGGAGGAACTGATGTTCATGTTTTCATGTATTTTTACACAATTCTCAGATAGTCAACAATAAAGCTTTTTTTTTTGTGAAAATTGACAATTTATAACCAACTCGGCTAGCCTAAGAGATTAGGTGGTGTGTGCATAGTAAGTACACCCCAGTTAAACTATTGATGTGGAAAATTCCCACACGGCCGATATGGAAATATCAAAGAATAGCCATTATATCGGGGTGGGAAAACACCAGAATAATATCAAAAGTGCCCGATATTATGGGAAACAGTCAAACTTCATCAAAGAGCATAGCACAATAAGTAAAATAGTGCTAGACAATACAGTACACTTAATAACACGCACGCACACATATATATATATATATATATATATATACACGTATATATATATATATATATATATATATATATATATATATATATATAAACACTACAGTTCAAAAATTAGAAGCCACTCCAAGAAATAGCATGTGATGTACAGAAGACTGAAAAAAATTGAGAAGAAGAGATCTTAGAGTTAATGAAAAAAGAATGGATTCAGTAATTAAATTTATACATTGAGAAACTTTTTCAACGAATTCATAAGAATTGTGCTTCAGTAATCAAGGCTAAAAGAGGATATTTTGACGAGAGCTAAATTTAATAATCATAAAACATATTTTTATTTTTGTCATAATGTCTAATAAAAAATCGGGTCATACTTTTTTGTAAATATGAATAATAAGTTTCTCTATTTAAAGAGCCAAACTACTAAACTACTACTTTTGGAATTTAAAAAATTACCAGCGATGGACTCAAACTTTAGAACTGTAGTGTATATATATATATATATATATATATATATATATATATATATATATATATATATATATATATATATATATATATATATATATATATATATATATATATATATATATATATATATATATATATATATATATATATATACATATATATATATATATATATATATATATATATATATATATATATATATATATATATATATATATATATGTTTGATTGTTATGAAAACACTCCAACGAGTGCGCAGGATCGCCTCGTCAGTGATGTTATGACTTGGGGTGATGACAAGTTCAGAGTCTTCCAACATCATACTTGTTCGCCCAAGTGACCCTACTAAAACAGTACTTATTCCGTTAGGCGATCCTGTAGTAAAAATCGGCTAAGCACACAGTGAAATGGACACATGCACACACACACACACACACTTATTTTATTAATTTAAACATTATTTTTAGAGAATAATCGTATTTGATTTGATTCTGCCTATATTTGAAATATTATTTTATTCGTCTACAGGTCTGAACGTTTAAGAAATCTTATTAATGACAATGTACCTGACGTCTCTTGATTGTTTACAATATAAAACAACATATATATATATATATATATATATATATATATATATATATATATATATATATATATAGATATATATAGATATATATTCATTATGAAAGGGATAAAGTCCGACAATTACTTTAAGACATTTTTATGTTTAACATTCTTTTCATACATACAAATATTTAATACTGTTTATTATAAACAGAGCATTGCTTATATATATATATATATATATATATATATATATATATATATATATATATATGTTTTTTACTTTCTCTACTGTTAAGTGCAAGAGGTATTTTTCTAGTAGTAATTTCACCATTAGTGGACTTTTTACTTAGTTTCCGAACATGGGCAAGTTATTCTGGTTCCGGGGGTGCTAATCAAACACACCTAACATTCTCACAGTAACTTTCTTTCAGCGAACTCAAGCAATAAAATCTAATATGAGTTTATACTTTTCTGAAAAAAAGGCAAAATACTTATACGAAAGAAACCAAAGCATAACATCAGTATATATATATATATATATATATATATATATATATATATAAACCATAAAAATATCAGTTCACCATGATCTTAACACGCTGGGGATCCAACAAAACGCATAAAACTCATCATATCCTACAGAAAAATGAAAATAAAATCCAGCTTCTAATATGCGATAAGAAACAGGAAAATATCGCTTGAAACAAAGAAAAGAATTCTGAACTTTTATCTATATTCGGCCCTTCTATATAACAGTAAATACTCGACAATCTCCTCACAGATAAAGATGAGATTTGAGACAACAGAAATGTGGGTCCGCAGAAGGCTGTACCATGTACTGAATATGTGATCAATGAGGAAGTAGTAAAGGAAATGGAAACAAAAATCTTATTTTTGCTTAGAATAATAAAGAGACAACTAAAGTTTAGGGCACCATAATGAAAAAGAAAGAGAATCTTACATTCTTGGGACATATTAAGGACGGTAGGGCAAAGTAAAGAAGCCAATAACATATATCCGTTGGCAGAACAGAGACTAGAAGGGGTAACGAAAAGTCAAAACTTGTTCAGTGCTACAATAGTTAGTATGTTTTGGAGATACATGCTCGCTTACATCCTCAAGTGTTACGATATGCAAATGTAGTAGCAGAACCCTACGCCTGTGAGATCCAATCTCGATTTTCCTTTTTTCTGAATTATGTAATTATTACTGACCAGTTACCTACATTGGAAAGCAAAATGTGTATATAGAAAATAAATATCGACTACAAAACTGAAGACCCTACATATAAAATGTGTCAAAATTTGGATAATTTATGAGTAGCCATTTTCTTAAACTGTATAACGTGACTTGACGCCTAATTATTGTGATGCGTCATGGAATTTACAAAATGTTGTATTCTTAAGTTGGGATTTCCCAAGGTTGTCCATCCCAGAATCTGGCGAGGCCCGAAAGATATATAAATACTTAATTGGTTTAAAATCTAGCAAACCCAAGTGACAACTACGTATCTGAATCCATTTCATGTCATCAACACACGATTCAGATTTGCGTGACCTTGTTGGCGTATATAATTGACACCGGATAACACATCATGCACAAAGGTGTACAGATACCTCTGTTTTTGTCACACATATCCTGACAGATTGCGTTTTTACTCTGGTTTCTTGCAATGAGAACATGCACTATATGATTACAGAGTCACCACGACCTTGCACAGCACTTTACTAGGGACATTGCTTCCGAGCTACGTGTAGTAAACGCCGTTTCGATGGTTCAGTAAATCCTGTTTTTCTTCAGATATATTTTCTCATTTAGTTCGTTCTTACGGATTTTTAAATTGATTTTCCAGATCATTCTGTTTTCTTATCAACAAAATATTTTTTTTTTACATTTTCTTGCTCGTGTAAAATTTCCTCTTCTTTTTCTATTCAAATTTCAAAGACGAAGACTTATATTTATTTAAGTTTTGTACGGTTAGATTATTACCTGCTATTTCTTTTATTATCTATCTCTATTTTTACTTTCTCTTACTTTCATTGTTGTAATAGGATGTTCCATTATCCTTGTTGTGGACTGACTGTATCAATAAATATATATAGTGTTCACAGGACATACATGAGACTTGCTTTGGCAATTAGTTGGAAATTCGTCTCCAGCTAAGCTCGTCGAACTCTCTGACTTCGGGCAGAGAGGAACCCAGACGAGGCTTTGCCGAAGGGCAGAGTCTCGTCAGGGATGGTAGACAGCTACCCGACCCCATTTTTTACGGGTTCTATGGGGGAATTTTTGCCTGAGGCTATTCGGCCTTGTGCCACATCTGACCGATTGGGGCGGTTGGCAAATATTTTAGCTTCGTCAGTTAGTTAGAGATTCGTCTCCAGCTAAACTAGTCGAACTCTCTGCCTTCGTGCGGAGAGGAACCCAGGCAAGACTATACCGAAAGGAAGAGTCACGTCTGAGGTGGCAGACGGCAACCCGACCCGTTTTTTACGAAGTCTACGGGGAACGTTTGCCCGAGCCTACAGGATCGGTTTTACTTCGCATTAAAAAACAGCTTTGTGCCACATCCTGCCTCGCGTG